TGTAATATATATAAATGATTTGGAGAACGTAATTGGTCTAATTAGTAAGTTTGCCGATGACACAAATGTTGATGGAATTGCAGATAGCGATGAGGACCGTCAAAGGATACAGTTGGATATAGATCATTTGGTGAATGGGCAGTGAGATGGCAGATGGAATTTAATCTGGAAAAGTGTGAGGTAATGCATTTTGGAAGGTCTAATCCAAATGGAAAATATACAGTAAATGGCAGAACCCTTAAGAGTACCGATAGGCAGAGGGATCTGGATGTACAGGTACACAGGTCACTGAAAACGGCAACACAGGTGGAGAAGGTAGTCCACAAGGCATATGGCATGCTTACCTTCATCGGCCAGGGCATTGAGTTTAAGAATTGGCAGGCAACGTTGCAGCTTTCTCAAACCTTAGTTAGGCCGCATTTGGAATATTGTGTTCAATTCTGGTTGCCATACTACCAGAAGGATGTGGTGGCTTTGGAGATGGTACAGACAAGATTTACCAGGATGTTGCCTGGTATGGAGGGCATTAGCTATGAGGAGAGGTTATAGAAACTTGGATTGTTCTCACTGGAACAACAGAGGTTGAGGGGCAACCTGAAAGAAGTCTACAAGATTATGAAGGGCATGGACAGAGTGAACAGTCAGAAGCTTTTTCCCAGGGTGGAAGAGTCAGTTACTAGGGGCATAGGCTTAAGGTGCGAGGGGCAAGGTTTAAAGGTGATGTACAAGGCAAGTTTTTTTTGAAACACTGAGAGTGGTGGGTGCCTGGAACCCACTGCCGGGGGAGGTAGTGGAAGCAGATACGATAGTGACTTTTAAAGGACGTCTTGACAAATACACGAATAGGATGGGAATAGAGGGACACAGTCCTCGAAAGGGTAGGGGGTTTTAGTTGTGATGAGCAGCATATCGGTGCAGGCTTGGAGGGCCGAAGGGCCTGTTCCTGTGCTGTAATTTTCTTTGGTTTTTTTTGTTCTAATTCGCTTAAACTCATCATCCTCCCTAGTCACTTGGCTCTCTAATTCTTCAAGATTTCTTGTACCTTCTTCAGTGAAAAACTGAAACTGATCATTTGGCTTCTCTGCCATTTCTCTATTCCCCTTTAGAAATTCTCCTGACTCTGCTTTTAATGATCCCTGGCTAAGCAACCTTGGTTAATTTCCTCATGGTTAAACAACTTAATTGAAAAATCTTGTCCTTTGCTTCGTATCTCTCCAAGGTTTTGCCCTCTTGATCTTTGTAATCTCCTCCAGCACATATCCCTCCATGAAAATGGCACTCATCCAATACTATCTTACCAATTTATCTTAGTATCCCTATAGTGTGGAAACAGGCTCTTTGGCCCAACAAGTCCATACTGACCCTCACAGGGTCCCACTCCCACCCCATCCCCCTATAACCCACCTAATCTAGACATCCCTGAACACTATGGGCAATTTGGCATAGCCAATCCACCTAGCCTGCAAATCTTTGGACAGTGGGAGGAAACCTGAACACCTGGAGGAAACTCACGCAGACATAGGGAGAATGTGTAAACTCCACACAGACAGCTGCTCGAGGGTGGAATCAAACTCGGGCTCCTGGCACCATGATGCAATAGTGCTAACCACTGAGCTACCGTGCTGCCCAAGAATTTTTTTTTAATATTACCTCAGCCAGTGCAGGATTTGAACCGGTGCTGTTGGTAATCACTGTACATTTGTGGCTATTCTGTCTACACTCCAGAATTCTCTCCCTAACTCTCTTTGCCGCTTTCATGATGGCCCTTAAAAACCTAACTTTCATCTGCCCAAATAGGTCCCAATGAGACTCATTGCTAAGTTTTGCTTGGCATCTGTGAAGAAAGCCAGGATATTATGATGTTATAAAGGTGCTATGTAAATTCAAGGGAAACTTTTACAAAGATGCAAATCAGGACAAATAATAGGTCACTCGTGAACTCAAGCTTGCTCTGCCTTTAAATAAAAGCATGGCTGACCTGATTATTCCACATCCATGCCTGCCCCCAGTAACTTAAACTGCTCGTTCATCAAGGATCTACCTACCTCCATTCAAAATCTTCAAAGTCGCTGCTTCTACCACCCTGAAAAAAGGAGTTCCAAAGACATTCAATCCTGAGGAAAATAATTCTCATGTCTTAAGTGGGTGAAATAATGACCCTTGTTCTAGATTCTCCCACAGTCAGCCTACAAATCCCCATGAAATCTTACCTGCTTAATCTAGTCACTTCTCACGTTTCCTCAATCCCAACAGATACAATTCTAGCCTGCTGTTATAGTGTTCTACGTAAGACAGCATGCCTATTCCAGGTAGGTTTACTAGACTTGTATTAATTGCATTAGAAAAAATTGCACACTTCCTTAAGGAAAGGCAACCAAAAGTGCATACAATACTTCAGATATGGTCTCACCAATATAATTTATATTGAATGCAGCCCTTCCCTACTTTTATAGTTAATTCCTCACAGTAAAGGAGAACATTTTATTAGCTTTTCTAATTACTTACTGTATCCACATACTGACCTTTTGCAGTTCATACTCCAGTACACCCAGATCCTCTGAATTTCAGAGCTCTACAATCTCCCACTATTTTGCTCATATGCTTTAGTTTCTCTTATCAAAGTGGACAATTTCACATTTTCCCACATCATACTTCCTTTGCCAACACTATTTAACCTATCCATATCCCATTGTAGCCTCCTTGCATGTTTTTCACAATTTATCTTCCAATCTACCTGTGAAGTAATGCCAGTGGCCAGCATCCTGCCACCAAGTCTCCTTTTATTTATACATGGCCAGTCCTTGATTTTTTTTTTGTAGCATCACATTCAGAGCCACATACCAGTGTGCCAGTGATACTGGCACTCACCCTTTTTATTTATCAGTCAGATGTCCCTGATTGGATCAGATTAACAGCCCCCAATCAGGGAACTGATATTTTATGAGGTTCAGCTGGCTGACCTTATTATAATCATCTTTGGTTCCTTCATCTAAGTCATTTATGTAAAATGTAAAATGTAGAGAACCAGTAGTAATCTCTGCAACATGCCACTTGATACATTTGCCTACCGGGCCCAACATGACGCATTTATGCCTACTTTATGTTTCCTGTTAGTTACCCTATTCATATCCAATATGTCACACAGACCCCCCACCCCCGTACCATGAGACTTATCTTCCACAATAACCTTTCATGTGACACCTTATTAAATGTCTTCTGGAAATTAATGTAGAGTTCTTCTTTATCTTTTGTGCATTACTTCCTCAAAAAAAAGCTCATAAATTGGTTAAAATTATTTCATCCCTTTTTAAATAAAGGAGTTAGATTCACTATTTTCCAATGTATGGGGACCTTCATTGAAGTAATATTCTATATAAGCTTTGAATTTGATGCCACAGCCACCTAATGAATCACCACAATATATTATTCCAAATATGTGTGTAAAGGAGACAGCTTCCTAAATATAATTTGCTATTTTAGCATTATAAGTTATGGTATTTGAAGGCTTGTGCAAAGATATTTATTTTAGAGCATTCTGAGTGCAAAAATACTTTGCAGTACTTTGCTAGTCAGGGCAATGGTGAGATCACTATCAAAGGACATGGGGGAGTCAGGGCTTTGGAGAGGAAGCATTTGCAGAGATGGGAAAAAGGACAGCTACAGGGAACACTCAAGATGTACGGGGAGTACATAGCATCAGGTGGTTTCCGGGAGTGGTGTTTTTGGCAGTGACTACTATTGTGGTCTCCATGGGGAATGAAGAAGAGCAGTGTGGGCAACATCAAATTGAAATGTCAGAGTTCACGGGACACATATGATAATTGGAGATAATGTTTGATGTGGGAATCTGCACATTAAGAGGATGAATGGAACTGGGATGTTAAGGTATTATGAGGTAAAAGGGTACACGGAGCTCATAAATCCCCCACAAGCCATCACTTGCATTCTCTTGATGCTAAATACAACTGGAAAATAGCTGCACAAACACCCAGAACAGGCAGGGTTGTTGTCAGTTTGGTTGGCAAAAGCACAGGATCCACATGTGCTGAAAGGTGTTTTGCAGACTTCAGAATAGTTCATCGGTAAACATTTCTTTGCACATGTGCTGTGGGAAGTATAGCTTTGTGGCTGCTGTGCCATATATTGCCCCTTAGGAACAATGATGAGTTGCCAATGCTTGTCTGAGTGCACAGCAGCCTTTCAAAGGTGTAAGTCATACCATGAGATGGGGTAGGTACTTAATGAGGCATTTTTGGGAAGATATGGCATGAAATTTTGCGGGACCTTGTGGCAAAAATCTCTCAAACAAATACACTACAACTTGCAGTTAGCTAAAGAATATAAGATTTAGCCCAAAGTTTCAATGTGTGCTTCGAGATGGGCATCGAACTATATATTGAACTATGTGCAACAAATACATATCAGGGAGATTCCTGGATCAAAAGTCACTGTGTCACATGACCTAACATCATTTCCTGTGATGTCAACAGCTATCCTGTTGACAACTGCTCCCTCACTCTGCAAAACACTGGCAAACCATTTCACCTCTACTCATCCAAAAGTCAAAAGTTCTCATTACTATTAGCTTCTCTGATACACAACAGTTAACTGCAGCTATTTCCAGTAATCTGGCAAAAAATATCGCTTTCATTTCTCCTAAGGCTGAAATGCAGAAATATTCACTGTTACAGTGGAATTAAAGGCTGTTGGGTACAAGATTTGGGTACACGCCAACTGCAAAACATTAACTTGGATGGAGGGGCTTGTAACAACCAATCTGAATTTTCCTGCTTTTCAATCAACAGGAGTAAAATAATTTGGGCCCGTTAAAGCTCCCTGACCAACTTTCCTTTTTCTGATTCCATTTAGATAATATTTTACCAGCAGACAGCAAAGATTTTTTTACTTTGATGTGCACTTAAATTAGGAATATGTCAGTTTAGGAATATTACTTTAAACAAGTTTCTCAATTCAATGCTACTTTCTTCCCTCACTTGCAGAATCCTGGTTATGCAGGGCGTCAAGAATTGCCAGAAAATCTAAAGATCCAATTTAGGACAGTAGCAATGATGGTGCCAGATAGACAGGTGAGAGATATTGTTCAAATTCTGAGGCTGTTACATATGAACAACTCAATCTCAGTGAAGTTTAAATTCAAGACATCTGAATCTGGCTCTATTAGCTGTGGCTCAAATAGTAGCTCTCTTATCTCTAAATCAGAAGGTTGTGGCTTCAGTTCCCAGTACAAGTGTGGCATTTTGCTGCCCGACATGGAGCAGAGGCCTGATCTGGAATCCCCACACTTTTTTTTAACTTACTTGTGGGACATAGGTGCAACTGGTGGGGTAGCGTTTGTTGCCAGCCCCTCGTTGCCATTGAGAAAGTGGCGACGAGCTGCTTTCTTGAGCCACTGAAGCCTATTTAAGTAGACCCACAAGGCAATGGAGGAAGAAATTCTAGATTTTAACCCAGCAATAGTGTAAGATACCAGGGGAAGCTTGGCTCAGGAGCTGCCCTACACAATGCAGGACATTAAGCATAAAATTGAAAAGTCTGCTGAAATAGTCATTCTATAAATTTCAATAAGTTGTGCACACTTCAGAAAACTGTAAATCACGCCAAATCAATACAATTAAATGACTAGACCCTTCAGAGGTACAAGGAAAGCACTGAACAGCATGAATGTAAGAAATATTTGCTGCACTTTGACCATAAAGCCCCAGAGAAGGTCCCGAGTTTACACTGAAATGGGGACAAGTCCAGGAGTTGGATGTGTGTTCCTTGAAAAGTCAAAGCTTTAACAATGGTCTGCTACCATCAGTCCATTCAGCCAAGAAGTTTCCCCAGACGAGAACATAGAACATAGAACAGTACAGCACAGTACAGGCCCTTCGGTCCACAATGTTGTGTCACCTATTATCCTACTAAGATCAATCTACCCTGCATACCCTACATTTTACTGTCCTCCATGTGCCTATCCAAGAGTTGCTTAAAAGTCTCTAAAGTATTTGACTCCACTATCACTGCCAGCAGCGCATTCCACATGCTCACCACTCTCTGTGTAAAGAACCTACCTCTGACATCTCCCCTATACCTTCCTCCAATCACCTTAAAATTATGCCCCCTCGTAATAATCATTTCCGCCCTGGGAAAAAGTCTCTGACTATGCACTCTATCTATGCATTTCATCATCTTGTACACCTCTATCAAGTCACCTCTCATCCTTCTTTGCTCCAATGAAAAAAGCCCTAGCTCCCTCAACCTTTCCTCATAAGACCTGTCCTCCAGTCCAGGCAGCATCTTCGTAAATCTTCTATGGACCCTCTCTAAAGCTTCCACATCTTTCCTGTAATGAGGTGACCAGAACTGAACACAATAGTCTAATCGGAGTTTTATAGAGCTGCAGCATAACCTCATGGTTCTTAAAAATCAGCAACCAGAACCAGGAATAGGAGCAGCAATACCCTGAATGCTTTGCACCACACTGGACTCACAACACTGTGGTTGCTTCGTAACTGCCTTCTCAAACAGCCGAGCAAAGCATTCAGTTGTATCAACCACTACAAAGGAAAAAGGGAATGAAAATGGGCATATCACCTGGCATCAACTTAGCCAATGAAAACGACAATGGCAAAAACAGCCCTATCAACTCTGCAAAGTCCTCTTTACTAACATCTGTGAGATTGTGCAAAAATTAGGAGGGCTGTCTGACATTCAAGTCAAGCAACAGCCTGTCATAGTCATACACATGGAATCGTACCCTACAAACAATGTCCCAGGCACCAGCATCACCATCGCTGGATGTGTCGTGTCTCACCAGAGGAGAGCACACCCCTATCTACATCAATGGAGTTGGGGTGGAGATGGCCGATAGCATCAAGTTCTGGCAATTGTACTGTAGACTTGTGCTCCAGAATTTTCCACACCCCTAGCAAAACTCTTCCAATACATTTACAACACTGGCAACTATCTGACAATGTGCAAAATTGCCCAGATATGTCCAGTACACAAAAGGCATAGCGTCACTCAGGACATACCCTGAACAAGAGACTAGGTCAGGTCACAGGAAAACCCCAAAACAAAGCCAAACCTCGGCCAGACAGTTAAAATTTCCTTCAGAGTCTGCCCAGTAAACCATTGTAGTTGCTGCCAGTATGCGGATTCAATTCAGCGAAAGAGACCCACTAGATCTAATTTGTGTAGGAGAACTCATAGGCTGGTATCCAGGAGAGTGCACATCCTAGAAAGTCCTTTTGATGAAATATCCACTTGATGAAAGTGCTCTTGTTGAAATGTACACCACTACAAATGCACTTTCTTTCTTAATTCATATTTGGAATGTGGGTGTTGCTGGCTGGGCCAGCATTTATTGCCTGTTCCTAGTTGCCCTGGAGAAGGTGGTGGTGAGCTGCCTTCTTGAAACACTACATTCCACCTGCTGTGGGTTGACCCACAATGCCATTAGGGAGGGAATTCCAGCATTTTGACCAAGCAACAGTGAAGGAATGGTGATATATTTCCGAGTCAAGATGGTGAGTGGCTTGGAGGGGCACTTGAAGATGGTGGTGTCCCCATATTTCTGTTGTCATTGTCCTTCTAGATGGAAGTGATCATGGGTTTGGAAGGTGATGTTTGAGGATTTTTGGTGAATTTCTGCCGTACATCTTGTAGGCAGTACACACTGCTGCTACTGAGCGTCAGTGGTAGAGGGAGTGAATGCTTGTGGACGTAGTGCCAATCAAGTGGGCTGCTTTGTCCTGGATAGTGTCAAGCTTCTTGAGTGTTGTTGGGACTGCAATCATCCAGGCAAGTGGGGAGTATTCCATCACACTCCTGACTTGTGCCTTGTAGATGGTGGACAGGCTTTAAGGAGTCAGGAGATGAGTTATTCGCCACAGTATTCCCAGCTTCTGACTTGCTGTTGAAGCCACTGTGTTTATGTGGTGAGTCCAGTTGAGTTTCTGGTCAATGTTAACCCCAAGACATTGATAGTGGGGATTCAGTGATGGTAACGCCATTGAATGACAAGGGGCAGTGATTAGATTGTCTCTTATTCGTGATGTTCAAAGACAGGCATTTGTGTGGAGAGAATGTCACTTACCACTTGTCAGCCCAAGCCTGGATATTGTCCAGATCTTGTTGCGTGCGAACATGGACTTCTTCAGTATCTGAGGAGTCATGAATGGTGCTGAACATTGTGCAATCATTGGCGAACGTCCCCACCTCTGACCTTATGATGGAGGGAAGGTTACTGATGAAGCAGCTGAAGATGGTTGGGCCTAGGACACTATCCTGAGGAACTCCTGCAGAGATGTCCTGGAGCTGAGATGATTGACCTCACACAACCACGGCCATCTTCCTATGTGCCAGGTATGACTCCAACCACCTGAGCATTTGCCCCCTGATACCCATTGATTCCAGTTTTGCTAGGGCTTCTTGATGCCACATTCCATTGAATGCAGCCTTGATATCAAGGGTTGTCACTCTCACCTCACCTCTGGAATTCAGCTCTTTTGTCCATGTTTGAACCAAGGCTGTAATGAGATCAGGAGCTGAGTGGCCCTGGCGGAACCCAAACTGGGTGTCGCTGAGCAGGTTATTGCTGAGCAGATGCTGCTTGATAACACTGTTGATGACAACTTCCATCACTTTACTGATGATCAGGAGGAGACTGATGGGGCAGTAATTGGCTGGGTTAGATTTGTCCTGCATTTTATGTACAGGACATACTTGGGCAATTTTCCACATTGCCAGATAGATGCCAATAATGTAACTGTACTGGAACAGCTTGGCTAGGGGAGTGGCAAGTTCTGGAGCACAAGTCTTCAGTACTATTGCCGGAATGTTGTCAGGGCCCGTAGCCTTTGCTGTTTTCAGTGTCTCCAACCGTTTCTTGATATCACGTGAAATGAATCGAATTGGCTGAAGACTGGTATCTGTAAGGCTGGGGACCACTGGAGGAGGCTGAGATGGATTATCCACTCGGCACTTCTTGCTGAAGATTGCTGTGAATGCTTCAGCCTTATCTTTCGCACTGATGTGCTGGGCTCATCCATCATTGAGGATGGGGATATTTGTGGAACCTCCTCCTCCAGTGAGTTGTTTAATTGTCCACCACCATTCACAACTGGATGTAGCAGGACTGCAGAGCTTAGATCTGATCCATCGGTTGTGGGATCGCTTTGCTCCATCTATCACTTGCTGCTTTTGCTGTTTGACATGCAAGTAGTCCTGTTTCGTGGCTTCGCCAGGTTAATACCTCATCTTCAGGTATGCCCGGTGCTTCTCCTGGCATGCCCTCCTGCACTCTCCATTGAACCAGGATTGATCCCCTGGCTTGATGGTAATGGTTGAGTGGGGGATATGCCAGGCCATGAGGTTACAGATTGTGTTGGAGTACAATTCTGCTGCTATTGATGGCCCACAGAGCCTCATGGATGCCCAGTCTTGAGTTGGTCACTCTTACAAATACCGTCATGGACAGATGCAACTGCAGCTGGCAGATTAGTAAGGATGAGGTCAAGTATGTTTTTCCCTCTTGTTGGTTCCCTCACCACCTGCCGCAGACCCAGTCTAGCAGCTATGTCCTTCAGGACCCGACCAGTTTGATCAGTAGTACTGCTGCCGAGCCACTCTTGGTGGTGGACATTGAAACCCCCCATCCAGAGTACATTTTGTGCCCTCACCATCCTCAGTGCTTCCTCCAAGTGTTGTTCAACATTAAGTAATACTGATTGATCGGCTGAAGGAGGATGGTATGTGGTAATCAGCAGGAAGTTTCCTTGCCCATGTTTAACTTGAAAGCCATGAGACTTCATGGGGTCCGGAGTCAATGTTGAGGACTCCTAGAGCAACACCCTCTCAACTGTACACCACTGTGCCGCCACCTCTGCTAGGTCTGTCCTGCTGGTGGGACAGGACATATCCAGGGATGGTGATGGTGGTGTCTGGGACATTGTCTATAAGGTATGATTCTGTGAGTATGACTGTGTCAGGCTGTTGTTTAACTAGTCTGTGAGACAGCTCTCCCAATGTTGGCACTAACCCCCAGATGTTAGTGAGGAGGACTTTGCATGGTCGACAGGAC